CCCCAAAACCCCAAAACCCCGTTATGATGGAAAAAGTAAAATAATATAAGAATGAGAAAGAGTAACTAAAATTTAAATTTCAAATACTAATATAAATAAATTAAAATGATGTAGAATGTGCCTTAAACAGGCATGAATTAGTAAGAACAAAAGCGAAGAGGTCAGTCTTCCAACAGAAAACAAGCCATTCAAAACATTCCCCCGAACCACTAGTCCAGATAGATTCAAAACCATAATATGTAAAGAGGCTAGAGTGGAAGGAACAACTCAATGGTAAAAACAAATTTGCAGATAGTTGGAGGGGGAACATCCTCAACCAAGGGTCAAAATGTGTCTTCAGAGCGAAAGAAGGGGAGACAGCAATCAATGGGCCAGAAGAACCACAATATGTCTCTAGGAGGAGACCAGCCTTCACTGAGTACAGTATACAATGAGCGACCAATGGCCAGCCAGTCCAACAGATTCAGAATAGCCTAGCCACCAGCAACCGCTCTAGACGTATCTGGCAAGTATTGGAATGTCATTTCAAACCATATTAATGTAGAGAAAAACTTCGTCCAGCAGAAACTTTAATCCTAAAGATTTGGGACTATCATGGCTGGACAGTCAAGCATGTTCGGTTTTGAAAACCCACTTATGATCAATAACTAGCCAAGGCTTCCCATTACATCCTAGAGATAACCTGTGGTTGGATCTAATTTTGGACAAGCAACTACACGAACTTTAGAGCCAGGCAATCTACCTGGATTATCAAGCATACCTAGCGAGAAAGATATGCTTAGACTAACTCAGACTCCAATGATGGGAATAGGATTGAAAAATGAGCTTGATTAATTTCAAAGACCATTTAACTTTTTAGCCAATCTAGGAGGCAAAGAAACTTCCTCAAGCAGATTTACAACCAGAATCGATAAGAACTTACTTAAAAATAACAAGACCTTAGCTCACTAACCTATAACTACTCTTAATCCTAAGGACAACTCTCAAATCATAGTGGACAATACGACTGATTTTGTCACATTTAATCAATCTAAGAACGTGCAAGACCTAATGACTATAAAGGATAAGAGCCTCAGAGGTGGACTCACTAATGAAAATGATCAAACCAAACAAGGATAAATCACCATATTTACTGATATGAATGTTGATAAGCATGAGTTTGACATCAGAGAGAAAAGGAAAGCTTAGAGAGCAACCTCAGCAATTCAAAGACCTTAGAGTACATATAGATCATAGAAAAGCACAATGGGTCTGTAATAGACCATAAGTAAAGCTACTCTATAGCAAACTAGACCAATATCTGGACTTATGCCATAGACTCATTCTTAAAAGGTATTGCCTCAGATGATTTAATAAAATGGAGTACCACCTTTGAATTAGCTCAACAAACTCTAGAAAGACTTTAAGATCAGCAATAACAAGAGACCATTCTCAGCTAATCCTAAGTATCTGCAAATAGCTGGTTTTAACAGGCCAATCAGTGCAGCTATTAAAATGGGTAAGGTAGCAAACGCTCATGAAAGTATCGATGATGAGGATGAAGATGATGATGAAGATGAAGAGGAAGATGAATATGTGGATTTGAATATTTACGAAGTTCCAGAGGAGGACAGATTCGGTGGGAACAAGAACAAAGACAACATTGAGACTGAGTCATTCAGTTATCGTATTATGAACTCAAGACCCACTACTGCTTACAAAAAAGAGAAAAACTTTGATTTGCCTTTCCCTGAGTTATTTGACAGATCCGAATGAACATTTGCTGCAACATTTGCTAAATATGGAGATCTATCTTATTATACTCCTGTCTAAAGAATCGGTTCATATATGGACTTCTCAGCCAGATTGAAAAAGAGACATTTAATCGACTTAATAGCTTATATGAAAACATCAAAGAAACCAATAAAGCCAAGTGATGAAGAGATAAATGAAGCAGAGTAAGCCTAGAAAGATTACTTAGACAACTGTCTTTTTATCGGAGTAATGTAAGAAGAAGAAAATCCAAGAGTATAGGCAGAAGGAGCTGAAATTACAAGAATGGATAAGTTCTAAGATATTGAAGAAGCACAGGAAAGAGTGTTCGATTAAACAAGGTAAAGGTTTGAAGGCTCGTTCCAATATCAATAAGTTTGGTCAGAAACTCTAATGAATCAAGTATAGCTAAGCATGCATAGATTTTTCAAGTATATTGACTCTTAGGAAGCCATTAAGAATGAAGAGGTTAGTCGCTACAAGAAAGAGTGGATGTCTCATGCACTTGACTTAGTCCCAGATTAACTCCTATCTCAATATGCTGTTAGTGTTAAGAAGATCTTTGCCGAGGTATTCAGTTCATATGCCAGAGCTATGAAATAAGCCATTTTGGAATATATTCTCAGAAGTCCAGAGGAGCGTAAGCGCTTGCATATAGTTATGCTGCCTAGACCTATACCAACTGCAACTGAAAGATAACTTATGAGAGGAGGTTATTCAACTGATAAATTCACTGGTAGTCATCAAAGAAAAGTAGAAACTGAAAATGAAATCAAATTAAGACTATTGAATAATAACATAGTGATAAGTGGGCTTCAGTCTTGGTTCAGAGAATTCAGGTCATTTAACCTAGTTGAATTCAGAGGTCTTAATCAATTCATTGATTCTGATACAGGCTAGCCAGGCACAGCTTGCTATGCCATGGACATTGACAATTTTCTTAGTTTCTAGGAGTCCTTTAGATAGAAGACTCTACAGTTGTTTAAGTATATATGGCATAGAGGCTGTATTTTGATAGTTAAGAAGTTCAAATTCTTAAGACTTAGAGAGGAGCAGCAAAGAATTTAGAATAAAAAGGCTTCACATTGCAAATGGACCTATGCTGGGTTCTAACCCACACCTCATGAAATTGATGAGAATGTTCATAGAGAGTTGGTAAATGACATTAAATGGGAAGATATTGATAAGATTGATCTGACATCAGTTCTTGGAAAGTAAACCATGCTTTAGAGATACTTTACTAGAACTGGCATGGTACATTAAGATGTACATCTCCACTATTTCTTGGTTGAAAATGGCTTTGAGATCAATGCAATTCCTGATGAATATAGAGATGAACTTGAACTAGAAGACCTAGTCGACGTTAGAGAAAACTCCGCATATATTGCTTTTGTCTCTATGATTGGTGGCTATGTAAACTTTGAAGAAAACGGATATGAAATTCTAGCAAGAGAATACAAAAGAGAGCTGAAATACTCTGCAGGTAATCTGATGAAACTACAATTGAGAGCTGTCGTAGATAAATCACTTGAAACAATCTAAAATTTCTTCAAGGGATTCCTGACTTATGAGAAGGTTAAAAAGGCAGTAGGAATGAAGCCTCTTAGACATATCAGAGCTTTTGTGACAAAGGACAAGAAGAATTCTGTTGAAGCAATGCTTGAAGAGGCTCAACGTAAGAAAAAGGAGGAAGAGGAGAAGGCTTCTAAACTTGGGCCAGGTGCAAGAAGAATTGACCCTAGAAGAAACACAAACAAATAAAAGCCAAATATTAACCAGGACTCAGAGATAAAACCAGCTGATACTCCTTGGGATATTGATCCTGAGTTACGGATTCCAGACTACTTCGACTATTAAGACTTTGTCAACCCAGTCTTTAGATTAGACTTGACTCTTGCCAGTTACTAATAGAATATGATGTCCTCTTCACATAGTGGATTCATGGCTAATAACATTTAGCAAGGAGATGTTTTGGAATTCACCAAGAAAGAGAATGAGATTATTGAGGACTTTGAGCAGTTTATTCTGCGAACCATCAACAGTTTTAATGACTTCTTAGTAAGACCAGAGTTCGCAAAGGTCAAAGTCATCTCTAAAAAGAGATATGAGGGCGATCTTGAAGAAGAAGCAAGACTCAAGAAGCTGAATGTGCAGATTAAAAAGAACACTGGCAATACAACCTCCAAGCAGCATCCAGGAGCTTAAGCAAGCGGCTAGTAGTCTTTCTATAATGTAACCGCAAGTCACAATTAAACAGCAATCAGCAATAGCCACATGGGCGCTACTAATATGAATAACTAGGGAGGAAATGCTTAGTTTAATTCCTAGAAGATCAAAGACTTCGATTAGATGTTGTACAACAATCATGATGATGGTCAAGATATATATAGAAAGTATCTTGGCAGAATTCAGATCTTTTAATCTGAGAAAAATACCAAGGATGTAATTGATGAGAATAATATGGGCGTGTATTCAAAGCCTTATCTCGATAAGTATTATCAAATAGCTGATGATTCAGAGCCATACTACCAATTGATCAGACAAAAAGTAAGGAAAATTGTGTCAAGGCATCTTAAGGAGACCAAGAGAGTTACTGAGATATTTGAATAGTTTGATGCTATTGTCAAGGGTTCTCTCTAGAATAGAGTAAGAGATTTCATTCAAGAGGAGAGAAGAGATCGTGACTATGAATTGCTGATCAAGGAACTCAGATTCTATCAAAAGCTCTCTATGCAGTTACCATCTATCGTATTCTTCCCAATGTTTGAAGTTGGCACAGTTGTAGTTAAAGAAGAAATATAGAGACGTATTAAAAACTTACTTGCTGTAGTATTCCGTAAATTTGAGACAACTATGATACAACGATCACAATCAATTTGTGACAAGTACTCTTAGATCTGCAAGTATCTTGAGAAGGTACTTAAGACTCCACATGATGTGGTAGACATGGAACGATACAAGAATAATCTATTACTTGAAATGGGCAACTTGCAAGAAAAGATGTATGAGAATAGAAAGAGTGTGTTTTTCTTAATGAGAAATGATAAGATGTTTGAGGAGGAAAGCTGGCATTTGATTAAGGAGTTGCATGAGTGGCCCAGTAAATTGAATGCTCATATGGATATCTGTGATGATAGACACAGAAATGAAAGAAACGACATTGAAAATTATGTTGTCAAAAAGAGAGAACTATTTGAAACAAACATTGGTGCTCTTGAGGAAAATATTAAAGAAGTAGGGTAATGGGGTGAGCTCAACAGCTATAGAATGGTTATTAATAAGATTCTTGACTATCAAACACAAATAGATTCATATGAGGAGTAAATGCTTGAGATTTCTCAAGAAGAGATGATGCTGTTTGGATTCAAAAGTGGTTATGAGACATTCCACAGAGTCAAGAAGTTCTTCACTCCATTCTATGAGTTGTGGACTAATGTTTCAGAGATCATGGTCAAGAAGCGTCAATGGATGGAGAGTGCTCTTAGCAACATCGATCCTGATGAAGTAGATGGTATGATCAAGCAGTCAATTAAAGGTTTGCAAAAACTCTAAAAACACTTAAAGGAAAACTAACTTGCTCAAAAAGTCATAACCTCTCTCACATAAGAAGTAAATGACTTGAATGAATGGCTACCAACTATTGAGGTACTGTGTAATCCTAGCTTGAAACCCAGACATTGGGCGATGATTCAAAACATAGCCAAAGCTAACTTTAACTATAAGGAGATTTCACTTAATGAAGTCAAGTATTTCAATATCAAGGAATATCTAGATCTGCTTGCTGAGATTAGTGAAAAGGCAAAGAAAGAAAGCAGACTTGAGAAAATGCTTGATAAGATGGAGTCTGAATGGGCTGACTTGAGATTTGAGCTGACAACTTTCAGAGACACTGGAATCCCAATCTTGCAAGGATAGAATGTCGAGGAGATTTAACTATTGCTAGATGAGCACACTCTTACAGCCCAGACTATTAGAGGATCCCCAGATGTTGAGCCAATGTAGGAAAGAGCTATTCAATGGGAGAAGCTAATGATCTTCTTATAAGAAGTACTGGATGTCTGGATCAAGGTCCAAGCCAACTATCTTTATTTAGAACCAATCTTCCACAGTGAGGACATCACCAAGAAACTGCCAGTAGAAGCAACTGAATTTACAAAGATAGATAAGATGTGGAGAGATTGCATGACTAAAGTTCAGCAGGACACACTCGTGACTCATCTTAATAAGATAAAAAATATTCAAGTTAACTTAGAGGATGCTAATAGTGCATTAGAAAGAATCCAAAAGTCTTTGAATGAGTACCTAGAGACTAAGAGACAGTACTTCCCCAGATTCTATTTCTTGTCAAATGAAGATCTATTGGAGATACTGGGTGATAGTAAAAATCCACACAAGGTCTAAAGACATCTTAAGAAGTGCTTCGAGGGCATCAATGAAGTGGTGTTCAGATAGAATGTAAAAGAAGGAGAGGAAGATGACTAGTTAGAGGACAATGATGAGATAATTGGACTAATTAGTAGAGAGAATGAAAGAGTCGAGCTGGTGAAATCCATATTCCCTCACGAAGTGAGAGGTAACGTTGAAGTGTGGTTGCTAGAACTAGAGAATCAAATGAAACTGTCTATATAGCATGTGATTGCCGAGAGCATCAACGACTACAAGACCATCAGAGACTCAAGAGAAAGATGGATCTCTAATTGGCAAAGTCAAGTAGTCCTGGCTGTCTCTTAGATTCAATGGACTAGAGCAATTGAAGATGGTCTTAAGAAGGATGGAACAAGAGGACTATAGAGTTACTTTGAAAAGTGCTAGAAACAACTTGATGAGATTGTGAACCTGGTCAGAAATGATCTGCCTAATTTGACTAGAATGACTCTAGGGTCTCTCATTGTAATTGATGTGCATGCCAAGGACACACTGGAGGCTTTGATTCAAGAGCAAATATCGTCAGTTGATGATTTCTCGTGGCTTGCTTAACTCAGATACTACTTTATTCCAAGTCAATAGCACGTTGTTGCGAAGATGATCACAACAGTTCAAGACTATGGCTATGAATACCTAGGTAACACGTCAAGACTAGTTATAACTCCATTAACTGACAGATGCTACAGAACTCTAATGTCTGCTTTACACTTAAACCTCGGAGGTGCCCCAGAAGGTCCAGCAGGTACAGGCAAGACTGAGTCAACTAAAGATCTAGCCAAGGCAATCGCTGTTCACTGCATGGTCTTTAACTGTGCTGAGGGTCTTAATGCTAAAGCGATGGCTAAGTTCTTCAAAGGTCTCGCAAGTGCAGGATCTTGGTCTTGCTTTGATGAGTTCAACAGAATCGAGCTAGAAGTGCTTAGTGTCGTAGCTCAGTAGATACTAGAAATCCAAAGAGCCAAAAATCAGCAGAAGGAGATGTTTAGGTTTGAAGACTCAGATATTGTGCTTAAGTCTTCTTGCAATGTTTTCATCACAATGAATCCCGGCTATGCTGGCAGATCTGAGTTGCCTGACAACCTTAAAGCCTTGTTCAGACCTGTAGCTATGATGATGCCTGACTACACTATGATTGCTGAAATTTCACTGTATTCATTTGGATTCTTCGAAAGCAGAAACCTAGCTAAGAAGATTGTCGCTACTTACAGACTTTGCTCAGAGCAACTGTCCTCACAGTACCATTATGACTATGGCATGAGAGCAGTTAAAGCAGTCCTTACAGCTGCGAAGTCTCTAAAGCAACGACACCCCTCAGAGAGAGAAGACATCTTGATCCTGCGATCAATTAATGACGTGAATCTGCCTAAGTTCCTTGCTCATGATATCCCCTTATTCCAGGGTATAATTGAAGATCTCTTCTAAGGCATCTAGATGACTGACATCCAGTATGGCTCACTTGACACTCAAATTAGGAAGGTAGTAAAAGAGATGAACCTCTAAGAAATAAAATCTTTCATGTAAGAATTACATTACAAGATAAATCTAATTCAATAGTGAGAAAGTATTCCAGCTTTATGAGATGATTAATTGCAGACATGGACTGATGCTGGTCGGACCACCTTATGGAGCTAAAACAGTCTGCTATAGAGTACTTGCTAAAGCCATTACTAATGTAGCCAAAGAAGATCATAAATATGGTGAACTCCCAGTAGATGTAACGCTTTTTCTAATTAATATAATATTTAGACTTATGTGCTAAATCCAAAGAGTATTTCACTATCATAACTGTATGGAAGCTTTGATCCAATTTCCCATGACTTCGCAGATGGCATTCTAGGCCAGATCTTTAGACGCTGTGCATATAAAGATATGGGCAAGTCTCGTAGATGGATAGTATTTGATGGACCAGTTGATGCTGAATGGATCGAAAATATGAATACTGTCTTGGATGACAACAAGAAACTCTGTTTACTTAATGGTGAGATCATTATGATGAATGACTAGATGAACTTGATATTTGAAGCTCACGATCTATCCCAGGCTTCACCTGCCACTGTGTCCAGATGTGGTATGGTCTATATGCAACCAGAGAACGTAGGCTGGTAAGCTCTGCTTCAAAGCTGGCTCGAAACTCTTAAGATTAAATGTAAGGGTTCTCAGGGAGAGACATTTGATCCTTCTATTATTAAACGCATGGAAGACTTGTTCGAGATATTCTTTGTGTAAACTTTTACTTTCTTGAGAAAGAAGTGCACCACCTATGTCCCAGTTCTAGAGGTACAAATAGCTCACAGTATGATGAAGCTATTCTTAGCTATGCTCGTCAATCCACTATTCCTGGAAATGGCTTATAATCCAAAGATAAAGAATGAGGATGTAGTCAATCGCATTGACATGTTCTTCCTCTTCGCTCTGTTTTGGTCGGTTGGTGCCATTTCAGATGAAAATGGCCAGAAAAACTTCTCATATTTCTTAAGAAAAATATGCACTGATGTGTATAAGGTCAGATAAAATAAATCTCTCAAAATCGATAAACAATCTCAAATCCCTGATGGCGGGACCATAGTATAGAACTACTATATTGAAGAGCACAGATGGATAAATTGGAAAGACATCTTGGATAGAAATGACTAGAACAAGGAATTCGACCCATCCTTGACATATCATGAATTGATAGTCCCCACCACTGAAAACCTAAAGAATACTTTCCTTCTTAACCTTTGCATTAAGAACGGTATTCCCATAAACTTTGTGGGCCCAACAGGAACTGGTAAATCTGTTCTTGTATAGAAGTACTTAAGATCTTTACCCTATGACAGTTACTCAACTGTATTCATTTGCTTTAGTGCTAAGACTACTGCCAACTAAACTCAAGAAATTATTGATGGAAAGCTTGAAAAAAGAGGTAGAAGAGTAATGGGCCCTCCACTTGGAAAGAAATGTGTTATTTTCGTAGATGATCTGAATATGCCAGCCTAGGAGAAATATGGAGCTTAACCCCCTATTGAACTTTTAAGACAATGGATGGATCATAAGGGATGGTATGATACAAAAGAAAAAGAAAAGACCTTCAAGGAACTTATAGATTTGATCTTTGTAACAGCAATGGGTCCTCCAGGGGGTGGCAAGAATCCAATTACACCCAGATATTTAAGGCATTTTAATCTAGTTGCAATCAACAATTTCGAAGAGTCTTAACTTCAGAGAATCTTTTCAAAGCTCATGGACTGGCATTTAAAGCGAGGCAATTTTTCCCCAACCTCGGATGTATTCAGAACTCTGTCGGCTTGCGTGAATGGAGCAGTAGATGTATTCCTGTTCGCTTAATAAGAATTAAGACCTACACCTGCTAAGTCTCACTATTTGTTCAATCTAAGAGATCTGAGCAGAGTCATTTAAGGCATATAAATGGTCAAGAAAGAAGAACTTACTGACTCCAAGAAAGTATTGAGATTATGGGTGCATGAGATAGCAAGAGTGTTTTCAGATAGATTCATTAACGACGAAGATTAGCAACTACTCTATGATAAACTATTCCAGTCTTGTCGTGAAAAAGTCAAAGACGATCTGATCTCTGCTTTGAAGATAGCTTTTGAGGACAAGAAGCAAAAGGTCGAGTAAAACAAGGAAATTATGACCAGACATCTAATGTTTGGAGATGTCCTTGGAGAAGGTATCTCAACCTAAGATAGAAGATTTGACGAAATTCTTCCAGGTCAAAAGTAACTCCTTACTGATAAAATGGGAAGTTATCTGGATGACTTTAACTCAGTCTCAAAGAAACCTATGAACCTAGTCCTCTTTGATTTCGCAATAATGCATGTGCTGAGAATATGCAGAATATTAAGAATGGCAAGTGGAAATGCCTTCTTAGTTGGAGTTGGTGGATCAGGTAGATAGAGTTTATCAAAGCTAGCTACCTACATTTGTGACTACAGACTGGTAGAGACTGAGCAATCCAAGAATTATAACAATGATCAGTGGAAGGAGGATATGAAGAGATTGGTTACGCTTGCTGGCTAAGACAATAAAAATTCAGTGTTCCTACTCACAGACTCCTAGATCAAGTTTTCATTCATGCTTGAGGATATCAATAATCTCTTAAATGCTGGAGAAATACCAAATCTCTTCCCAGCTGATGAAAAACTCCAAATCATTGAGAAGCTTAGACCATAAGCGAAACGTGAAGGTAGAATGAACTTGTACAATAATGGAACTAATGAATAGTTCTCCGATTACTTCGTAGAGAAAACAAAGCAACATCTACACATAATTCTGGCTATGAGTCCAATAGGAAGCACCTTAAGAGAAAGAATAAGAAACTTCCCATCATTAGTCAACTGCTGTACCTTCGACTGGTTCACTAGATGGCCAGAAGATGCTTTAGAAGCAGTAGCTGAAAGATTCCTTTCAGAAGGTGAAATTGAAGATCATGAGAGAGAGTCTATTATCAAGCTATGCAAGAAAATACATACTGATATGATTGATCTTAGTCAGAAGTACCTTACTGAATAAAAGAGACATAATTATGTCACTCCCACAAGTTACCTTGAACTAATATTGACATATAAGGAATTACTCAAGAAGTCAAGATAAAAAACTCTCACATTAAAGTTGGGCTACGATAAGGGTATTGAGAAGCTACTTTTTACCGCTGATGAAGTTCAAAAGATGCAAATAGACCTTAATGAAAAGTAACCGAAACTCGCTTAAATGACTATTGAAACAGATATCCTTATGTAAAAGATCCAAAAGGAATCAAGTGAAGTAGTAGAACCAAAGAAGATCCAAATATAAGAAGAGGAAGCCATAGCCAATCAAATGGCTTAAGAAGCTCAAACTATTAAAATTGAATGTGAAAACGACTTATCAAAAGCCCTGCCATTAGTTAAAAAGGCTTAAGAAGCATTGAACACTATCCAGCCATCACATATTAACGAAGTTAAATCACTGGGCAAACCACCTGAGCCAATCAAAAAGGTGCTTCATGCTGTTTGCATAATGAATCAGAGGAAGGTTGAAAGGACTCCCAAGAAGGAGAACCCCAAAGAGCTGGAGGATAATTGGTGGTTCACATCTTAGAAGTTTATGAGCGAGAAAGGCTTCTTAGAAACACTGCTTGAATATGATAAAGACCACATTCCAGAAAAAGTTATGAACCAAATTAGGTAGAATTTCTTAAGTGATCCTGACTTCAAACCATAAAGAGTTGAGAAGGCATCGTTTGCAGCAAAGGGTCTTTGCATGTGGATCAGAGCGCTAGACTAATATGATAGGGTGGCCAAGATTATTGCACCAAAAAGATAGAGAGCTCAGGAAGCTGAAGCAAAGTATAGAGTCACACTTGAAGGTTTAAAGAAGAAGTAAGCAGAACTTAGAGAAATCGTAGAGTAATTTGAGATGCTCCAATCATAACTAGAGGAGACATCAAGAAAGAAGCAAAAACTGCAAGATGATATTGAGGACTGCAGTAGGAAACTAGACAGAGCTTAGACTTTATTAGTTGGACTTGGTGGAGAGTAAAAGAGATGGGAGGATGCTACAATAGAATTGGGCAAAGTGTATGATAATCTCATTGGAGATATCCTGCTATCATCGGCCGTAATTGGTTATCTTGGAGCATTCACGAGTATATATAGAAACAGTACCGTGACTTAATGGATAAATGATCTGAGAAGTCTGAGAATCAGCTCTTCACAAGGCTAGTTCAGTTTGCAAAACATTCTTGGAGAGCCAGTAACAATCAGGCAATGGAATTTATGTGGATTGCCTACTGATTAGTTCTCTGTAGATAATGGTATCATAGTGTATAATTCTAGAAGATGGCCTCTAATGATAGATCCATAAGGCCAAGCCAATAGATGGATCAAGAATCTAGAAAGCACAGAAAATAACAAAAGTCATACTAAACTTAACATAGTGAAATTGAGTGATCCAGACTTTGTAAGGCAATTTGAACAAGCAATCTAGCTTGGCTTCCCTATTCTGTTAGAAAATATTGGAGAGGAATTAGACCCTATTCTTGAGCCATTACTCATGAAGTAGACTTTCAAGTCAGCTGGAATAATTTCAATCAATTTCGGCGACAACGTGATTGAGTACTCTCCTGAATTTAGACTCTACATCACAACCAAGTACTCAAACCCACATTACCTGCCAGAACTTTCAACTAAAGTAACTCTGATCAATTTTATGATCACATTTGACGGACTTAAAGACTATCTATTGAATTTGGTAGTGTAAAAGGAAAATGCCGCTCTTGATGATGAAAGACAAAAGCTGATTATTCAAACCTATGAAAACAATAAGCAGCTAAAGGATATTGAGAATAAGATATTGGATGTCCTCAGATCTAGTTAGGGCAATATCTTAGATGATGAGAAGGCTATTGATGTTCTCAAGTAATCGCAAGAGTTATCCAATCAGATAAAGGAAAAGCAGGAAATCGCTTAGGTCACAGAAAAGAAACTCGAGGAGGCTCGTAAGCTCTACATGCCTATTGCCAGCCATTCAAGTCTGCTGTTCTTTATCATTTAAAAGTTGTCCCAAGTGGATGTGATGTATTAGTACAGTCTGACCTGGTACATCTAATTGTTTATGATGGCTATTGACAACTCAGAGAAGTCAGAGTACATTGAGCAGAGAATAGAGCAGTTAAAGCAGTTCTTCACTTACTCTCTGTATTCGAATGTGTGCCGATCATTGTTCGAAAAGCATAAGCTACTATTTTCATTTATACTTACTGCTAAACTCAAGGAGTCTGAAAAACTAGTGAACCCAGCCTACTATGATTTCCTGATAATGACACAGCCAGGCTTAGAAAACCCCATTGAGATGGACAACCCAAGCGAGGATTGGCTGCCTAATCAGACTTGGAACAAGCTCTGTGAGCTATCACTCATTGATTCTACATTCAGCAGCATAGTTAATGATTTCGGCAAATTTGAAGAATAATGGCAGAAGATATTTGAGAGCAACTCTCCAAACAAGGAAAATTTCCCTCCCTTTAAAGAGTCAAAGCAGTTTGACTTCTTCTAAAAGCTCTGCATCTTAAAGGTACTCAGACCAGACAAGCTTATTCCAGCAGTCAAGGAGTATGTGATATCTGAGATGGGCGAGCAGTTTGTAACTCCTCCTCTATTTGATTTGGAATTGAGCTTCAATGACTCTACTTACTCCACGCCACTCATATTTGTGCTTCCAGGTGCTGACCCACTTCAAAGCTTAACTGCCTTTGCCATCGCTAAGAAGAAGCTTGATACTATGAAATCTATATCATTAGGTTAAGACCAAGGCCCAAAAGCAGAGAAAGCAATAGAAGAAGCAAGAAAGAATGGAGGTTGGGTGTTACTGCAGAACTGTCACTTATATCCATCATGGATGCCTAAACTCGAAAGAATATGTGAGTCTCTAGACATGAAGGCTCAGTCAGGCAAGGAAATAGCTCACCCGTCATTTAGACTATGGCTAACTTCCTACCCCTCTTAAGACTTCCCAATCCTGATTCTTCAAAACGGCATTAAAATGACAAATGAGCCGCCTAAGGGTCTGAAAGCCAACATTATGGGCAGCTTCAAAATGGAGCCAATATCAGATCCCAACTTCTTTAACATTCACTCTAAGCTGCCAGTGTTCAAAAAGATGCTCTTTGGTCTGTGCATGTTCCACGCTATCATTCAAGAAAGAAGGAATTATGGATCTCTTGGCTGGAACATAAGATATGAATTCACTGTCAGCGATTTACACATATCTGCTAAGCAGCTGCAGCTATTCGTGAACGACTACAATGAAGTGCCCTACAAGGCTTTGAAGTACTTGACTGGAGAGTGCAACTACGGTGGCAGAGTCACAGATGACAGAGACAGAAGAGTACTCAAGGCCCTTCTAGAAGATTTTTACAACCCTCAACTACATTAGGAAGGATTTAAAGCATTTGGAATAGAAGAATACGAATTCCCTCATGGAAACATTCATTATGCTAAGTACCTAGACTATATTTCAAAGTTGCCTCTTGAAGAGCCACCTGCTTTGTTTGGATTCCATCCTAATGCTAACATCACCAAAGAACTATATGAAACATCAGAACTATGCTATGACTTGATTAAGATGGGAGAAATAGAAGGAGTTAAATAATGTGCTATCGCAGCTGAAGTTCTCAAAAGATAGACTGAAAGTTAAGTGTCTGGAAACTTCTCAGACAGCTCATCAATTAGATCAGATCCAAGAAGCAACAACCAAAAGTTCTTCTCTAACCAGTCAAGGTAGCTTACTAGAAAAGAAGAGAACAAGCAGTAAACACAGGAACTATAAAAATCTCCAGAACAGCAAATTGAAAAAATATGCAAGGACATTCTATCTAAACTTCCAGCTAATGTCTATGACATTGAGGCAGTCTAAGCTAAATACCCGCTTGTCAGAGAAAACTCAATGAATACATTCTTGGTCTAAGAACTAACCAGATTCAATAACCTACTGAAAGTCATCTAGTCAACACTTAAGAGTATCTTATTGGCTTTAAAGGGTGAAGTGCTATTGTCAGAGCAGCTTGAAAAGGTCTACAATTCCTTACTGATTGGAGAAATTCCTTAGATGTGGCTAGCCCAAAGTTACCCCTCTATGAAGAATGTTGCTTCATATATCAAAGATCTAGTACTGAGATTAAACACCTTCTAGCAATGGATAAACAACGGAGCACCAAATGTGTTTTGGATTAGTGGTTTCTTCTTTACACAGTCATTCTTAACTGGAGTGTTCTAGAACTTTGCTCGCAAGTATAATGTGGAGATAGACACTCTAGTATTTGAATTCAGCTACTTGCAAGAAGATCCAACTGATTATGAAAATGAGATATTCACTAATAATAAGATTCCGAAGATGAAAACACCTGAGGATGGTGCTTATATCAGTGGGTTATTCCTTGAGGGAGCAAGGTGGGACTATCAGAGAAAAAGTCTGGGTGAATCTCAACCTAAAGTTTTGTTCAGTAAAGTGCCAATTATACAGTTACTACCTACAAAGGTAAATAGAGTGAAAGAGGAAGAATGCTATGAGTGCCCAATGTACAAGACTGCTGAACGAAAGGGTGTACTTTCCACTACTGGACACTCAACTAATTTCATTATGAATCTTAAAATGCCTCTCGGAGGAAGTCCTAGTTCTCACTGGGTTAAGAGAGGTGTTGCAATGATCTGCTAACTATCCAACTGATCTGATATGCTTAATCCAAATTAAATTCTAAAGGTATGAAGAATGCCCTGAATAATAATTTTATATATGACTTGTTTAATTATTGATTTTAATAATTTATCCTAACATTCTTAGAATTATCAATAATGGGGTTTTGGGGTTTTGGGGTTTTGGGG